GCTGCAAGCTGTCTGGAAGTTTCCACCCCTCCCTGCTGAGCAACTACTAAAAATGTAAGTAAAAGAGGGCCAGGGGTGGGAGGTGGGAGACCGACGGGCACAGGGAGGGTTGCTGGCGCGCATGGGGCCCAGCGGGTGCCTTACCTCCCTTGGGCTGGGCCAGCTGGTGGCCAGCTGGTGGCCCAGCCGGTGGTCGGCCTGCTCTGTCTCTGCCGCTTGCCAGCTACGCCTCATCCGGTGCAGGGGGCGGCACCACGCATGTGCGGTGCTCCTGGGCAGGGAAAATCCTCGACTTACAACCAGTTGGGTAGTCCTCGACTTACGACTAGTTGGGTAGTCCTCGACTTACAACCAGTTGGGTAGTCCTCGACTTACGACCGGTTGGGGAGTCCTCGACTTACGACCGGTTGGGGGTCACAGCATTAAAAAGGTTGAGAACCACTGCTCTTGAGGGATGGGATTTATTATATGGATGGCACGCGTATTTAATTTATGATAAAAAAGTTGATCAGGTTTTTAAAACCCATATTTTGAGAAGTGCCTTGTTGCGTGTCTGGAAGAAATATTATTATAGGTTAAATTATGAAATCCCAATTTGGGGGATTCCTGGACACGTGATAGAGGGAGTATCTACGGGAGTAAATTTGGATAAGATTTCTTACAAGGAATTACTTAGTTTGGTTGTGCAGCATTGGCAATTAAAGCCCTTAACCGAGTTGAAGCAAGAAAATATTGTATATTCTTGGTTTTATTATAATCAATTGTTAGTGAGGTAGAGTATAGATCAAAAGGTTGGTATCACTTTAGAGGATGTGAATTTGGTAAAACAGATTAAAGATCAAAGTCGAGCTCATATAAAAAGAATTTATAGTGCCTTAATAGAATTGGATGCTGAAACGGAGTTAGTTAAAGATTGTATAGTCAAATGGGCTCAAAATATTCAAGATCCAATTTTATTGGATACATGGGAGACAATTTGGTTAGAAATGTAAAATTTACTCAAGCACAAAATTTAAGAGAAAATTTTTATAAAATGTTTTATAGACGGCATTTGGATCCCCAAAAGTTGTCTCGCATGTATCCGAATTTACAGCCCAAATGTTGGAGATGTGGAAATTTAGATGCAACTTATTTTCATATCTGCTGGACCTGTAGAGATGTTAAAGCTTTTTGGATTAAGATTTGGTGAAATATTCAAAAGATTTTTAAGAGAAAGATAAAGTTTACTCTGCAATTATTTTTGTTGGGTATTATTGTAGATTTTGATGTTAAAGAAATCAATTTGATGTTGAATCTTATAACAGCTGCAATATTATTGGTGGGGCAATATTGGAAGAAAAACTCACTGCCTACTTTGGAAGAATGGATACTTAAGGTGTCTAATTTAGCAGAAATGGCAAAAATCTCCGCCTATTTGAAGGACCATTCACAAGAAAGATACATTGTGGTTTGGAGAAGATGGATTGATTATATTCAAAAGAAATATGAAACTGAAAAGTATTACCTTGCTTTTGAGTAGATTTTAGATAATTATTAATTGTTTTAATTATATTATTATTATTGTTTTAATTGGTTAATATTTGTTTTGAGAAGGAGCTAACGTGTGTTATGGTTTTGATTGATAGTATAGTTGGTTTATGTTAGTTAGATTATGTTTGTTTATTTGTTACCCTGTAATCAGTTCTGGAAAGTGGGGGAGGGGGGAAGGGGTGGGGGTTTATATTGTAATAAATTTGTAAAACTTATAATAAAAAAAAAGAAATCATGATATGGTGCAATAGGGTTTGTATAATGTAATGTTGTGCTTTCAGGAAACCTCCCTGCTCCAACAGTTTGGAGACATCAGTTGCCGAGAGCTCTACAACGTATCAAACATCTCCTTAGAACCTGCAAGATCCTGGACTGATCAGGTTCCCTGGAAGGGAGGTTTTTTTTTTTAATTGAAGTGAAAGAAGAGTGGAAAAACCTGAAAGAAAGGGGACATACAGCTTTGTAAGGGAAATGAGCATATTTAGCATGCACCAGAAATGCAACTGTTTGATTTAAAAACTCCACAAGAAATACCCACAGTAATTAAGACGTTTTAATTAAGGAATCCAATAATACACAGAATCCCAGAAAACTCATGGAAAGAAGGTAGCTTGTTAAAATGGGGTAGATCTGTACTGACTCTTTTCTGCAGGGAATTCTGCAAGGGCAGTAGGTTAGCATTATTCTAGCTATTGCTAATCTTAATTTGGCTGGGTTTAGACAGCAAACATGGATCATGAAAATAGAATAGAATAGAATAGAATAGAATAGAATAGAATAGAATAGAATAGAATAGAATAGAATAGGGAAGGGACCTTGGAGGCTTTCTAGTCCAGCCCCCTGCTCAAGCAGGAGAACCTATACCATCTCAGACAAGTGACCGTCTAGCCTCTTTTTAAAAATCTCCATGATGGAGCGCTCACGACTTATGGGGGCAAGCTATTCCACTGGTTAATTGTCCTCACTGTCAGGAAGTTTTTCCTTAATTCCAGGTTGCTTCTCTCTTTGTTCAGTTTCCAACTATTGTTTCTCATCCTTCCGTCTGGTGCTCTGGTGAACAACCTGACCCATTCTGCCTTGTGGCAGCCCCTCAGATACTGGAGCACTGCTATCATGTCTCCCCTATTTCTTCTTTTCTTTAGACTAGCCAAACCCAAGTCCTGCAGCCATTCTTCGTATGTTTTAGTCTCCAAGCCTTTGATCATCTTAGTTGCTCTTCTCTGAATTTTTTCCAAATTCTCAACATCTTTTTTTGTGATATGGAGACTAAATTGGCTACAGTATTCCAGGTGTGGTCTCACTAGGACTTTATAAAGCGGTACTAATGCTTGTGTGATCTTGATTCTATGCCTCTGTTTATACATCCCAGGACTGTATTAGTTTTTTTGGCTGCTGCTGCACACTGCTGGCTCATAGTCAAGTGGTAATAATAATAATAATAATAATAATAATAATAATAATAATAATAATAATAATAGTAGTAGTAGTAGTAGTAGTAGTAGTAGTAGTAGTAGTAGTAAAGTTGGAAGGGACCTTGGAGGTCTTCTAGTCCAACTCCCTGCTCAGGCAGGAAACCCTATACCATATCGGACAAATGGCTGTCCAGTCTCTTCTTAAAAACCTCCAGGGTTGGAGCATTCACTGCTTCTGGAGGCAGGTTGTTCCACTGGTTAATTCTTCTGTCAGGAAGTTTCTCCTTAGTTCTAGATTGCTTTTCTCCTTGCTTAGTTTCCACCCATTGCTTCTTGTCCTGCCTTTAGGCACCTTGGAAAATAATTTGACACCCTCTTCTTTGGGGCAGCCCCTGAGATATTGGAACACTGCTATCATGTTCCCCTCGTCCTTCTCTTCATTAAACTAAACATACCCAATTCCAGCAGCCGTTCCTTATATGCTTTAGCCTCCAGTCCCCTAATCATCTTTGTTGCTCTTCTCTGTACTCTTTCTAGAGTCTCAACATCTTTTTTTATATTGTGGTGACCAAAATTGGATGCAGTATTCCAGGTGTAGTCTTACTAAGGCTTTATAAAGCTGTACTAACACTTCACGTGATCTTGATTCTATCCCACTGTTAATGCAGCCTAGCATTGTGTTGGCTTTTTTGGTAGCTGCAGCACACTGCTGGCTCATATTTAAGTGATTGTCCACTAGGACTCCAAGGTCCCTCTCACAGTTACTACTATTGAGCAAGGTACCTCCTACACTATATCTGTGCATATGGTTTTTCTTGCCTAAATGTAGAACCTTGCTTTTTTCACCATTGAATTTCATTTTGTTAGTTAGTGCCCAGTGTTCAAGTCTGTCCAGATCCTTCTGTCTTCTGGAGTGTTGGCTATTCCTGCCAGCTTGGTGTTGTCTGACCTAGTGGTCATCCACTAGGACTCCAAAGTCCCTCTCACAGTTGCTGTTTTTGAGCCAGGTCTCGCCTAATCTGTAGTTTTACAGATTGTTCCTGCCTAAATATAAAACTTTGCTTTTCTCCACATTAAAACTCATTTTGTTGGATAGGGCCCAGTTTAGTGTCATCTGCAAATTTGAGTTCCCCTTCTATTCCCCCACCTAGGTCATTTATGAAGATAGTGAAGAGTACTGGGCCTAAGACGCAGCCTTGTGATACCCCACTGCTTACTTCTCTCCATGTGGATGTAGTGCCATTGAGGACTACTCATTGAGTATGGTTTGCCAGCCAGCTACAGATCCATCTGGTGGTGAAGTTGTCTATCCCACCTTTTTCTAGCTTACTAAGCAGCAGGTTGCAATCTACTTTGTTGAATGCCTTACTGAAGTCTAAATATACTATGTCCACAGCATTTTGCTGCTCTACTAATTTAGTCACTTTATCAAAAAAATGAAATAAGATTGGTTTGGCATGATCTGATTTTAACAAACCCATGCTGGCTACTAGTTATAACTCTGTTATAACTTTCTAGTTGTTCGCAGATCTGTTTTTTGATTATCTTTTCTATGATCTTCCCAGGTATTGATGTTAAACTGATTGGTCTGTAATTTCCTGGGTCTTTTTTTCCCCCTTTCATGAAGATGGGAACCACATCAGCCCTTTTCCAATCCTCAGGTACTTCCCCGGTGCTCCAGGATTTATGAAAGACGTGGTTCTGAGATAACATCTGCCAGCTCCTTCAGAACTCTGAGATGTAATCTGTTGGGTCCCAGTGATTTATATTCGTCAAGGTTGGATAGTTGTTCTCTTACCATTTTCTTGCTTATTTTAATTTTTGATTCTAGTTTTAACTATTAGGTTAACTATTAAGTTATAACTACTAAGTTATGGTTATAGTTGGTCAAATAAACCAAAACTGCATAGCTTCAGAGTAGATTAAATCATAAGCTAAGATTGACAGCTCCCAACATGCTGGGCCCAAGCCAACCATGCTTTGGGTCATGCTGCATCCCGACCTACTGAATCCTCAGCCCACCTCAGACTACGGAAGAAAGGGAAACATCCTTATTACCATCATGGACCGCTCAAGTTCCACCTCTTGGAGCAACTCAGCAAATTCCTTAAAGGACTCAGCTGAAAAGGAGAGAAAATAATGAGAAAACATTAACTGAGGAATTAATGAATTGAGAGATTAACAGAGTGCCCATTTGGTATAATGGTTAAGCGCCAGACTAGAAAGCAGGAGGCTGTGCGTTCAAGTCCCGCCTTAGCTATGAAAGCCAGCTGGGTGCCTTTGGGCCAGTCACTCTCTCAGCCCAACCCACCTCACAGGATTGTTGCTGTGGGAAAAATAAGAAGAGGAGGACGGTTATGGGATATGTCTGTTGCCTTGAGTTATTTGTAAAACTAATAAAGGTGGGATGCAAACAAAGACTGACTTTCAGAGATGGGAATATAAAGTATTTCCTATTTCCCCCATCTTGCCTTTAGCATCCTCATAGTGGATTATACCCTGAATGTGTAGCTTTCTTGGTGGGTCATCATATCAATGGGTCAGGAGAGATTATCAGGCTGTGACCAGGAGAATCTCTCCAAGAAATCTTCTGAGCAAGTGAGAGGGGTGCCCCAAGTCTCCCATGTCCAAAACAGCTGAAGCATTTCCACATGCTAATTTTATAACTGCCTCAAATCAAACCACATACAACTTTTGCCTCGGCTTTTTGCTTTAATTCAAAAGTGCACAAGAGGATTGATCTTTCCTGTCCCAGCATAACGCTCATGAGTTCTTCCCTTTTCTCATCACCATTATACCTATAGGATCATATGGAATCATCTGTTTGATATTTATGCTGAAAATTTATCCAAATTTTCCCCTCCTTCGGTTTTCCTGTCTTATCCTCAGGGTGTCCAACGCTCACCCGAGACGGCTGGAGGGCAGCCCGGAGGGCCCTGCTGCTTTCTGACACTCATCTTCACTTTGCGGCTGCCGTGGCTGCTCACACCGTCCCCTTAACTACCTATTCTTCCCCAAAATATAAATTCTATACAGTTTTATAAATATTTTCTATATACTGCAATAAAAGAACTGATCTAGCGTTTACTTCCATCTTTCAACACATCCATCTCAAATATCACGAGGTACAATCACTGATTCAGGTCATACAGCTGGGCTGTTTATCGGCTAAGAAATGCAAATAGTGAGCACACTCTTTAGAAAAGCATTCTTAAAAGAGGTACTCCAGATTATTTTCTTGCCATGGAAATAAGTAGAAGCCCAATTTCTGATCAGGACAGAAAATCATACAGCTGCTTTGTCTAAAAAAGAGGAATGGGAGCATGAACACATTTTTTTCAAGAGAAGAAAGTTGCAATGGGTGAAGGGCCTCCCAAGTCATGCTGGAAAGAAGAAGTCGAACGCAGGAGGGTCCCATTCCTGGAAATACACATTCCAGATATTGCTGGGTTCCCCGTGCTGCTGTGCAATGATACATGGATCCCTTGGCCAGGGGAAAACAAGACGTTTTGTACAAGATAGTATGTCTTGTTTTCCTCTGGCCAAGGGATCCATGTAACATTGCACAGCAGCACGGGGAACCCAGCAATATCCGGAATGTGTATTTCCAAGAATGGGACCTCCCGCGTATATCAACGCCAGACATAATTTGAATTTTTAAACTTCACAACTTGCACTTTTCAATGAGACTTCAGCTGACCTAAAACACGGTTCCTGCTCTGGATCTGAGGTGTTTTTTTACTGTTTCAAGTACTGAGCGGCCCATCATAAGAGGGCTGACATGGCAGTTATGGAGAGGCAGTTAAGTATGCCGGATAGGTTTTATGCAAGATATTCTAAACTGAATTACAACCAAGAATTTTATTACTCAAGCGGACATTAAATGGACTTCTAGCACTCAACCCTGACAAGGCAAGAGAGACAGCTGGCCAAAAAAGCACTTACCAATGTTGATTTCATCATCAGTCAGAGTGTCCCCTATGAAGTCAAACTGAAAGGACTGGAGTGTCAGGGAGAATTTCTGGACAGCCAAGGAATAATCTGAGAAAGTTTAAACAGGAGAGTTTCAAACATGAGTATATAAGAAGAGAGATCTCATAGCTGAAGCAGAACACTGATTTTGAACTTTGGCCCCCGAGGAGTTTTGAATGCACCGGTGAGCACCCTCCGTTCCCCCAAACACCCCATTTACAAAGAGGCAACTGCCCCCTGCAGCTGGCTTGCCTGCATCATCTTGGCTCCTCCCCCTTTGCTCCCAATCCCACCCATGACCCCGGCTGGGCTCTGCAACTTCCACAAAAAGCCCTGGATGCAACTCCTGATTGCTGTCTGCCAAAAATGCCTTTGGGGCCAACAGACATTCTTGGAAATAAATCTTACGTTGAAGGCTGGCACTCTATTTTACAGCATGGCAGTTTCTCAATATTTTTTTAATGAAAAAAATCTGTAACATAATCCGGAATCAGAGGGAGGCACCACAGTAAATGTTTACCAACACACTGCTCTCCGTGGCTATTAAACTGCCTTCACCAGTTTTAAAATAAACATGCAGAGGACTTTGTTTGCATTGAAAATGATTTCCAGGAAGGAAGGAAGGAAGGAAGGAAGGAAGGAAGGAAGGAAAAGGAAGGAAGGAAGGAAGGAAGGAAGGAAAGAAAACATCGGCAGGACTGTTCTGAATTTTTTTTCTTCATCTGATGACTGCGTGGATTTGCAAAACTGTTCTCCAGCAAAGCCAGCTGCTGAGCCCTCAGAGAGCCGGTCTTTTTCCACCTTGGATATCGTAACTGGAGATATTGCACCTTATGTGGTTTTCATTGTATATAAATTATACTTCTATTCGAAACCACATTTTTTCAGTATGGTTTTATCACTAACCTTTAACCTTCCCTCTTCATGTTCATATTTGGTGATCAGATTTTCAAGCCATTTTCTTATTATTTATTAGTATTTATTTTATTTATATCAGACCTTTATTATTTTATATAAACAACTCAAAACGGTACACATAAGAATATCGAGTCATAGAGCTGGAAGGGACCTTTATCGTCTTGGCTGCTCTTCTCTGAATACTTTCCAGGGTCTCAACACCTTTTTTGTATCTTAGTGACCAGAACTGGACTCGGTATTCCAAGTGTGGCCTCAGTATAAAATGGTATCATCACTTCTTGTGATCTTGATGCTATCCCTTCCTACCTGATTGATCATGATCTTGATGCTACCTTTTCCTATATTATTCTTCCCTCTCAGTGCAACTGAATCTGTAGGCAGCATATATGAATTAATTTACTTTTGAGTCACAATCTCTAAAATGCCTTAAAAACTCATCTGATTTCTTTTTCTATGCATACTGGAATTTGGAAGTTTGGAAAATACTTGCTTACCAAAGCAACTAAGTCTTAAACACCAAGGGAGAATAACTGCTTTGACCAGCTCCACATAATTACGTATGAAATCAGCACTCAACATATGAAAACAGGATTTCAGTCTATTTTGCATACTGCGACTACCCAGAGATACCAAGCAAAAAGCATCCAACTATGAGACCACTATATTCAGATTGGACACCTGTCACAATCCCAGCTGGGTGTTTGTATGAAGGAGAGCATGAGGGACAAGTATCAGCTGAGGGTGGACAGCACAGTAAGACCACCTTACCTCATTCCCCACTGTAATCACCTGAACCTCGACAGTGAGACAGGAAATGCCTCTCCTAAGAGGCAGAATCAGGAAAATGTTTGCTCCAAACACACTGGGGAGACTACATACCTCCCATCCAGTCTGATTAAACTTTATTTTCCTGAATTTGCTCGATCAGTCCCTGTCTTACATTGAGCTAATCCCGTTACTCACTAGTAAGCGCTCCTACACTTGATCTGCTATTCAAGCTCTGTTCCAAGTATTGATCTGCCCATCACAAGAGAGATTAAAGTGCCACGTTGTGGAAATCTCACAAAATTCCATACGACATTGTTTGTTTGTGTTTATTGATTTATTTCGATAGCTGCCCAACTCAGTCAATGCCTCTGGGCAGCTTACAGTTCAAACAGTTGCACGTTAAGCCCTGCTGGTACAACATTTGCCATGGCTGCACTATGAACGGCATGAAGAGGCAGCCAGAGTTGCCTGGGGTAGTATATGAACTGTCTTCAAGAGCAGGCAGCAAAACCCTCAGGAAAAAAACTCTAATTTTGATTGCCATGCTGGGCGTATGGGGCAGAATCCAAAGAAGAGTAGTTTATGCTCTTCAGCCTCTTTTGAAGGCAACCAAACTACAAAGAATCAGAGGGCCAGAGGGATGAGCTGCAGATAAACCAGGCCCTACACTGGAACCAGTGAGGAATCGAATGTTCTCTAGTCCAATAAACCTCTGACTATTTGCGGTCAGGTGAGTGAAGGATCCATGAGAAAGGAGAAATAAAAGGACCTTGAGCAAGATCCTTCATAGCCAGGAGCAGTATTAAGGGCAAGGATCAAGAACATATTAGGGAAAAGGAGGAATTAAGGGAGGAATTAAAGTGCAGTGTGAATGACAGTATGTGTGTATCATTTACTCTTTCCACCCTCCTCACCCCTTCCTTATTTTAACCATACATCTACATTTTGAGGTAGGTGGAGCTGTGATTCAGGGACTGGCAATGCAAAGACACAATTTCCAAGAAAACAAGGGCTCGAGATCTGGATGTTCATTCATCTCCACCCCCACCCAGTCCCAGCTTCATGTCAGTTCTTTCGCCACACCAAGTCTCTTCCCATGGCCAATTGCCATATTCTCTGCCGTACAAAGATGGCTTTTCTGAGTTTAAATAGAATCTAATTTGCAGTGTCTTCAGCAGAAAGCATCTAGGAACTGGACAAGGGTGTGTCCAGGAGGAGCTGGAGAGGCCCAGATGGGCTGCTCTGAAGAGGAACAACAACAACTCTAAAATTAGCCAGGTCAGAGAGATGACATGCGGAAGCCAAAAGCCACATTAGTGCTCTTAATCAGATGACAGCCACCCAACTCATCCTCAGACTGTCGCCAACAAGCTTCTGCCTCCTCCTTTCGCTTGCTCTGCTTGACACAAGAGAGAGCAGCAGTTCTCCAGGGAGCCCAACTAGAAGGTGGAGGTTTTTTCATCTTATTTTCTGAACCTTCAGATAACCAACCGATGGTTTTTCCAAGGTTCAGGAGAAGACTGGGCCATCCTCCAAGTTTAATAATTCTGATCATAGCACAAGGAGAGGCCGGGCAATGCCAATGACAACGCAGCGAGAACTGGGTTGGGCCAGCTTTACTCTTGTTTACTTCCTCGGACTCTCTCTGCTGCTGGAACCCTTGTAGACCCTTCTTTTCATAAGAGGGCTTGATATGGATCAAACCACTGAGAAGGAGGTACTTTGCTTTTCACTCTCATGCTTCACTAGAATGCATGAAGAATGTTTGCAGCTTCTGTGCCCAAAATTTCCTGCAGAGTTGTAGGAATCAAAAGCATGATAGCACCATTTTGGGGCAAGATTGGGCCACAAACATGCCAGCGGATAACCTTTTGGCTTCTTGAAGTAATATTAGAAATAGCAGCTCATAATCCTTCCATGATTCTGATGGGAGGATTCCCATCCTCTCCAACAACCTGAGCCTAAAGAAAGGGCGCTTCCTAGGAGGGGAGTTGGGATGGAGCGAGGAGCCATGGCTGTCAGGCAGTTCTCCCAGATTAATTTCAGCTTTGAGATCAAACTGGTGAGAAAGGATCAGTCTAACCCAGGGGTCGGCAGCCTTAAACACTCAAAGAGCCACTTGGACTTGTTTCTCGCAGAAAAAAAAAAACATTGGGAGCCACAAAACCCTTTTGACATCTAAAATGAAGATAACACTGCATATATCCTTTTTTTACCCTTATGCTATGTATAAAAAAATTATAGTGTGTTGCACTTATGAAATCAATGAACTGCTACAAACAAATTTTATGCCGGAGAAAGAGGGGAAGAAAAACCTTTCTTCTTCATCCCAACAGGTGAAAACAATTTTAGTAGCTTATCTTTTATCTTTAAATACAGCATAATTATCCCCATACCTCATCTCTTAATTAAAATATCAAAATATTTCATTAAATGTTTTTTACTAAAAGTCTAGTAAGGACAACATATATTCATATTTTTTCTCTCACACACTCTTTCCTCTCTCTCCTCTCTCTTTCTCTCTCCTTCTTTCCCTCCCTCTTTCCTCTCCCTCTCTTTCTCTCCGTCCCTCTCTTTCTCTTTCCTCTCCCTCTCTCTCCTCTCCCCCCCTCTCTCCCTCTCTCTGATCTTCTGCTCACCTGGCCAGCTGGCCTCATGCTGTTCTCAGACAAACTGACTTATTGGGTTGGCTCTCTCTTGCCCTTGGTCTGCCAGTCCTCTTCCCCACTAAATAAAAGTGTGTGTGTGTGTGTGTGTGTGTGTGTGTGTGTGTGTGAGAGAGAGAGAGAGAGAGAGAGAGAGAGAGAGAGAGAGAGAGAGAGAGAGAGAGAGTGAGTGAGAGCGCTGCTGCTTTCTGCTGAGATGCAGCAAGGGCAGGGAGCCCACCCAATAAGCTTGTCAGCTTGTCGGAGAATAGCGTGAGGCCAGCTGGCCAAGTGAGCAGAAGATCGGAGAGAGAGAGAGAGAGAGAGAGAGAGAGAGAGAGAGAGAGAGAGAAAGAGAAAAGGGAAGCACAAGTGCCTCTCTCTGTCTCTCTGCAAATGGCGGAGGACTGGGAGCCACAGTAGAAGGCTGAAAGAGCCACATGTGGCTCCAGAACCACAGGTTGCCAACCTGTGGTCTAACCCAATGGTGATTCCTTGGTGGCAGATTTTCTAACTGCCCACTGCTGACAGATGGTCTTTCTCACTTGATCAGAACCAGCAGGGTCAGCCTGCTTCAAGCCCCTTAACAATTGGCATCTTGTGAAACTTAGGAAAAAGAAAGCCTTCTCTCTCACAGAGCCAAACCAGCCAGACGATCTGCCCAGAGATCTGGATGGCCCCAACTCTCCTGGCTTTGAGCAAGACCTGGATGTTCTCTCAGCCATTTGGACCTGGAGC